CTAGGTGAATGCTTTATATTATACACTATGATGCACTGGTTGAAGCCTTTCCGTTGCTTTTTTTCCGCGTTTTTCACTTGTTATTTCTGCATTAAAATAATTTAAAACAACTAGGTTCTAATTGTTTTATTACTTTGTAATGCTAAACAATCTGTACAGCAAGATTTTTCGAACAGTTTTCGCCTTCTTTAAAGCTTTTGTTTAGGAGACATCAGCCCCAAGAAGTCCGCTGAGTTCGAATCCGTTCGTGGCTCCTTTCTTCCAGCAGCCGGTGACGCCACAGACACTAGTACTAAAACGTCACACTAGTGAGACGCTACAGTAGTAAAAGGTTACTGCCTATTTCGAAAATGATTCTATTACTACTGATCTTGTGTTCAAGAGATTAAGGAGGTCATCCGTGAATCACTAATGGTGCGTTGTCAGGCCAAATAGAGTCCTAGTATTAATTCGACTAATAAAACTATTTATTTATTTAGAAAAGCATCACCAAGATTACGTTTCCTCCATATCTTCTTTATTCCCTTTCTAAGATGCCTTGTTCCCCTAACCAGTGTAGTTCTGCTTGCTCATGAGCTTTATTATTAAATTGGTTTTTGTAACTCGTTTGAATGTGAAATTCTGACTAAGATTTATTGAATAGGTTGAACCTTTATGTATATTTCGTTTATAGCTCTAAACAGTGAACAAAGTCGGCCAAAAAAAGCTTCTCATTATTTTCTTGTAATCATGATTGCAACAACAAGTCAGTTTTGTGATCTATTCTTCCTTTAATTTTTTTCGATCCTTTGCTTAAGTTGTGTACAACTGATAGAGTTTCCTAATTTGTTGATGTAGCTTTACGAGGCGAGTTGTATTTCCGTTTATAGGATGCTTTCGTAGCAAAATTCTCCGGTAAAGACAGCTAACGGCAGTCTCGTTCTCTCTTTTAATTTCTAGTTTGTTTGCATTTTGTGCTTAACTTTCATTTTTTTTTCTCTTTTTTCTCGTTTGTTTTGAGACCTGAGTTATAAAAGTTGACGCATTTACTTCGTTGTTCATTAAAAGCTCGTTGTGACCACTTCTATAGTCTGATTGGTATCGGCTCTTAGATTTCTGCAGTCGGTTACAATCTCAGTATTTTTGTCACTTTTCTATTAGTAATAAGCCATGCTTTCTTCGCTGCTCAGCTTTCTGTAAATTAGGTGTCGAATGTTCTGTTAAAACTGTATATGAGTTGGAACTGGAAGTGCTCCATTGCATTTTTTCTTCTCGTTTTTCCCTATCGATATTCAGAAGTTTTAGATGACTGGAAATCGCGTTCTTTCTCTTTTTTTTCTTATGGTTTCTTGTTCTTTTTCTTTTCTTGTACACTTATTCCTTTTCTCTTTTCTTTTGTTTTGCGAAGTTAGCCTTTAAAAAAAAATTGTATTATCGATAGCGTTCAGTTGCATTTCTTTCGAAGTCCCTTTTGAGTTCCATTAATGAAGTTTCGATTTTTTCTTAATCATTTGTAAACACCTGCTCCATTTTTTTTAATCTTTGCTGTAGACGGGTGGCTGCCTTTTGTACCTTTTGTCCAACATAAACATTGTTTACTGTTACTTGTAGAGAAACATTCAGAGTCTGGCATCTTGGGAAAAATCCTCGCGCACGAGACTTCAAAATGAAGCGAGGCCAAAAGCAACAGTGAGTTCACAGACGACTGCCGCTCGCCGACGCCATAAGGCGGTCTTTTTTAAGGGCGGTTAGTGAGTCTTCCATCCACACTCTAAGAAGTGCTACCACGCGAGGATGGCGGTTGTTTCAAATGTTTTTTTATATTACTAGAACACAGCGAACAATGAGGAAACTGTATCGAGAACGAAGGTAGAGCAATATATTACAACCACAAGTTCACACGAATTTACAAAAACTGCTATAGACAATCTATTTTCTGAAATTACATACCTTGAACAACAAGTTCTTCCAAGCAAGCTATCAAATAATCAAACATAGAAAACAAAATAAAATTTTACTAATCGCAGAAATATTAGTTAGTATATTCACAGCACAGGAGACAGCAAACGTCTGACAGTAGTATCGTCACAAATTAAAAATAATAATGCAAATAAACAATATTAAAAACCTAAGTGCAGAAAATGTTATTGAGAGAAATTAAAAAAATGATCATGGGATTGGCCATACGCGTATCGACGAGAGAAATATTGGTAAAACTTTTAAAAGAGATCTTTCCTGCCGACTATGAGCAAATGACATAAAATTCACATTTCAGCCTCTTCTTCTTCATCTTCAGCAATGTTAAGTGTGGCACCATCTTTAGTATCCTCATCATTTTCTTGGAGAGATGAATGTTCTTTTGATGAGTCATCTCCATGGTCGTCAATGTCATCCTGTGAAGGGTCATGCTGTAGACCTTCACTCCCATCATTAGTCACCTCGCTGTCATCAAGCCACTGAAATTCGAGAGGTATATAAACTTTCCACATCAGTGGCAAAAAAAGTTATGAAAGACCAGGAGCAAGCGCAGCTTAATGATCTAGCTACTCCTAGAACCAAGTTTTTTGCAGTAAAAACTCCAGTTACTAAATAGCAGTAAAAACAGTTTTTGCAGTAAAAACTCCAGTTACTGAAAAAGTAAACCACCTTAAAAGGTATCAAAAACAGTCTGTAAAGAAAACTGAGTAATTAAACTTGTGAAAAACTAAAGTCATTTAAACCTTGCTTGTCAAGGCAATTTGAGGTGAACGAAACGTTTGAATCTAGTAATCTGGACAGCTGAAAAAAGAGAGAATATAACCACATACCTCATCATTATCATGATCAGGGTCATCCAGCCCAAGATTATTACAGTCGTCGTAATTAATATCCAAAGCCGAGTTCCCAGTACTTTCTGGCTCATCCGTGTCTACCCCGGCAGTTCTAAAAAACTATTTAAAGTCAGAGGTTACGGTCGCAGCCACTTGGAATTTTCGTTGTACCTAATTTGAGGTGTCGTAAGTCCAGAGGAGTACAATTAAAAATACTACTCGCCACATAAAAAATACTGCACGCACAATTACTCCTTATTCAAAATAATCTCAAAAAGGGAAAAAACACTGAAATTTTGAAAGCTAACAACTTTTCGAGATCAGCTGCCGTTGGTACAGGTGCATCTACAAAATAAGCAGGATAACAACGACGTATCATTTCTTTTATTTGCACTCCAAATTTTAAGCGATCATCTACTGGCTGCACACCTGGCCCGTGACAGTCTTTTATATGTTTTAAGACAACGTCACGGCAAGGGTTCCCCTGAAATGAATAAATCAGATGTGGAGAGTTGCGCATACAGAAGCATAACTTATAAAACGAGAGGAAGTCAGAGAAATAGAAGAAAATGGGATGAAAAAAGTGCGGAGATTTTCTTCGTAATAAAACATACAGCCTGACAAACAGGGCAAGAGAAAAGATGTTCCGTCATGTGTTTATAAGCATGGTCGCTCATTCGTGACGGCGTCAATACACCGCAGACCTAGAAATTCAATCCTCAATGTTTAATGAACGAAATGCGTCAAGAGTAGTAGAAAAACTGAAACCAACCTCACAGTGAGCCGCTTCGTTAATCTTCTTCTTAAAGTACTGCGCTCCTCCTACTTTCATGCTCACCTCTCTCAATCTTACCATCTCCTTTCTTCTTAAACGAGACGCTGGCTTTCGCGTGCCAAAACGACGGCTGCTTTTATTTCTTCTAGACTTCAAGGTGGCTGAAGAGGAAGAAACAGAAGGCGCCGACTGTAGCTGTTCCACTTTCGGTTCAACCACAGATTTTTCTCCATCTAACATAGTCCCAGGTTCCGAATTCCACAGCGAACTCGTGTCAGCTTCAGCTCGATTAACCTAAAAAAACTAAAACAATTCAGAATCAAAAACAGCTGCCTGCTCACTACAAGATCAGTACTAAAAATGTAATGTAATCAATTAAAAAAGTGCTTACCACCGTGTTTACAGACTCATTCTCATTGTTCTCGGCGACTAACTCCTGCTCATCTTGATCAACTTCGTCAACCACTTCTTCTTCGTCTTCATTGTGCTCTGGAGATGCACTCTCCTCACTCTCATCATGAATTTCATCAGACGCATGAGCACGCTAAAAGCCACAAATACTGTACTGACGAAAAAAAATAAGTTGCGACCTCAAGTTTCTTACTGGCCATCTTGAAAAACCGTCGTAAATTCCACAAAACATACTCCCAGAAATGATAGGAAGTTAAATCAATTTGAAAATCCAAAACAAATTGATCCGAAGTCACTCTTACTGGAGTAGCCATTGGAATTTTACTACGTCGACGACTATCTTGAGAAAAGAGAGCTTGAAAACCAAAAC